GCAAGTATGGTGATGCGTATGGGTATGGATCTGAGCATGCAGTACAATTGTGACATCTTCTGTTATGCACTAAAATGACACCTAACAAGTACTATTATTTCACATGAAACACCTAAACTTTAGAAGTTGTCCTTCCTAGTTGAATAGCAGAACCTTCATATCAGGAAAATATTTTCCTTTCTTATCTGTATCAATAATAAAATATATTAAAAACAATCACTGGAAAAAATCAGCAAGAGTTTCAAATGTTAGCTCTTGTAGGTTATGATACAATAAGTGCTTGTAAATAAGCTTTCTCACAGAAACATTGTTCAGCACATGTTTAAGTATCAGCAAATCATATTTGTGCTTTGCTGTGTGGATTCTGGTGTATTTCTCTAACCCCTCTCAGCACATTTGTCACGAAACGTTTTTCAGGACCCTATGCAGATGGCAAAATCCAGAGAGGAGTGAGACAAACACGGGGAAAAAGACTAGGGGGGAGGGGGGTTGGAAATTTTGATAATATGTAATTAAGAACTTATAGTCTTTAACAAAATACTGTGGGCAGACACATTGAGTTCTCTGTGGCAGATAATGTTATCACTGATCCTGCAGCACATTAATAAATCTTATTTGAATTAATATGTAGGTAGGCACAAACTTTTGGTGTAGCAAATAAATGGCAAGGCTTTAAGATTACTTCTCTTATTTTATTCATAACAGATTACAGAGCCACATTTGATATTTCTACTGAAGATCAAATCTATGCAAGTGTAGTGATGTGAGGATTTTATTTTAATTTACTGTAACACTTGTTATTCTATTGTATTGTAACACTTGTAACATCAAATTGCGAGAGTACTTGATGACTTTTAGAAACCAATCAAACATAATAATTGACAGTATCACACATGGATTCTAAATATACGATATACAATTAATTGATACAACACCAAAAACATGTACCAAACAGCAAACACAATATAATATATTTGTATAATGATCTGTTATAAAAGGATGATTGTTCACTGAGGGATTACAAAGTGAAGAGTTAATAACTTTAGAGTTAAAATACATTGACTATAACATATATTATGATCTACCTCATAGGTTTTAGCAGTCTCATATACTTACAGTACATTCATATTCGCAGATACAAGTAAATATGCATTTACTATCATGAACTGCACGTGAAACATGTTTGGAATAATAGTTCAATTCTCAAGAATTATAATATAAATGAAGAAGATATATACTCAAAGATCCATTGGCCAAACAACCGAGCTTGGCTGGCTCAGTTGGTCCATGATTTAACTTGGAAATTGCTCAATCTATCTGGTAGTGTGCCACAGTGCGTGAGAGGAGAGAGAGCTTTGTCTAGTATTAAAGCAGCTCTGCAAGGAAGTAGGGTTGCACTGGCTTCTGTCTTTAAAAATTGTATTTAAAGCAGTCTGTGCACAGTTGTCTTCTTGGATCTGGCCACAATATAGACCGGTAGGGGAACTTGGTTCAGATAACTTGGTGCTGAATATGCTTGTATATTCAGAATGTTGACAATAAGAGTCCAACTGTCTTATTTTGTTGATCGGGAAAATACAACAGGGGATTTTTTCTGTTTTAGAAATGATATCTTTTTTTGGAATTCTGTAGTTTACTGACCTACTCTCTCTTCCTGGTATCTTGGAGAAAAGTTTAAGTCCAGACTGCTTGCAGTTGTGTGTTGGAAAAGTCAGATTGCTACTTTAGTTGGAGAGAGAAAAGCCAGTGACCTCACCAATGAAAAATGCATTGGGTGCAAGCTTTTAAGATGCAAAATTACAGCTGGTGATTTGTCAGGAAATTATCAGGTATAGTTATGGTTTCCACCCTGAAGTTCCCCCATTGGTGAATTTTCCTTTGGGTGATGAACAGAGACTATATATATAATTTATCAGAGGGGTCTCTATATCCCCTAAACAAGCGATGACAGGTCAATTACCAGGTATGCAATACCTCACTATTTTATATAAAGCTCACTTCATATTTCATATGCTTCAAATGCTTAATTTATTTAATGGGGCTCATGTATGATGATACACTTAGTGGACTCGGCACTCATTAAACAAAAGCTTCAGCAAACCCATAGAGGGTGGATGATTTGCAGTTGATGTAATGGTTCAAATTTTGATTCAGTCTAGGTCTTTGGTGTAAACATTCTATAATTAATAATGCATATATAGTAAGCATTTATCAAAAGTGTCTTGCACAGAATAATGAAAACAGTAACAAAAAACAGTGGAACAAAATAATAACCATAAAAAAGTCTATTGAAATTTCTTCCTTTGTTGTTTATCAAGGTATATGTAGAATGAACAGGGGAATTAAAGGTCATACAGTAGATGTACTGTAAAATAATGTGAATGACTGGAAGAAACAGCAATAGTCATAACTAGGGCTTAAACATCACATGTGAAAACTCTAATATAATGTGCATCTGTTAAAATGTGAGAATCACAACTATGTTTTCTCTTGGAAAGGATGTTTTGAACTGGAGCTGTTAAACTCATACCTGCTATTTAACTCTTGGGAAATATGTGTATGTGTTTTTTCTGTCTCTACGGTTACAGTTGTCAGTATCCAGGGAAAGTAGTCCTGCAGTTCTTCAAAGGTTTTTCCACCTGCTTTATATAATTGCCAAAACTAATCATGGTTAAACTTAGATTACTGTTACATGTATTTCTTCACTATTTTTCACATAGTTTACATTTATAAAGTCTAATTAATATGTAGGTTTCATGTTGCACACTGATAATATTCACCATTGCTCCAACAATGTTATACCATTCTTCATAGTCCCTCTGTAACCACATAATACAGTATGAGACTCATTTAAAAATTGCAAAGATAATTAAGTGAAATTCTTTTTTCATAAAAACTTGAATGTTTTAAAGATTGCAGTAAATATTGCAAGCCCTACCAGTCAGATGTACAGGACAAAAAAACAACATATTCTACAACATGTATCTTGATACACAACAAAGGAAGACTAGACCAATGGTGTCTTGTTTCTCATTATTTTCTGATTGATACAGGTTTCATCTGCTTTTGTGCCTGGATACATACAACTGTTACCATAGCAACAGAAAGAACCTACAGCTGAGTTACAAAGAGGTAAGATGTGCATATCAACTGGAGGTCTCAAGTTCTTATTCTGTAAAGGTCAGAATCTTAAATGTTTTCAGTGATTAATTTTATCCATGCATACTGAAGTTCAAAATTGTTTTTTTTCCATTGGTGCTATGTGACTTATGGATATTTATTTATTATTGTCTTCATCTGCATTGTATTGTCAATTTCATTCTCTTTTTTTTCCGTAGAGCATAATGTGAGCTGCCATGATTCTTATAATGCTTTATATTCCTCTATTGGCTGGTTTGCCCATAGGGATATGGAACTGGATATAAAATTGTACTGTCCATTTATTTTTCAAATTAGAGAAAGTATCCAAAGTATTACTCAGCTAAATGAGTAAATAATATTAATAATAGCTTTTTATGTAGTTTGGTCAAATTCTAATGAATGCAATGAAATGATGAATATAAAGTGTACTTAATAGCACACTTTAATGTTCGTCGTCTAAGGCACTAGATTACAATATTACAATAGTTCCATCTAAATGGTAGTTAATGCTACAAGATAACAAATACAAGGGGCTAGTCCATTTAATTTGTTTCTCTTTGCTGTTAACTTGCCTCGCTGTGAAAATGAGAGCCGTGGTAATAAGGTCAAAACTGCCAAAATTCCCAAAAAGGATTCAAGGACTCCCAAAACACTGATACAGATTTCTTCAATAATATGTGTAAGTTTTGTTTAATATGTTCGGATATGCAAGCCACTCTGTGGTGGGCTGCGGAAGATGTTGCACCGACCCGGAAGGAGTAGCCTGAGGTCAACTACACTATGAATGGGAACTGGTAGTCACTAGCCACTTGCTTATGTGTGCTACAGCAGAATGGATGAGGATGGACTCCTCAATGGAACCCCCAAAGGAAGAAAAAAAATTCAGCTAAAGTGTGATCTGGAAAAACAACAGTAGTTACTGTAAACTGATGATCTAAAAGTGATGATCCTGAAGAACGACAGCAGTTGAAGTGATGGTCCTGAGGAGAGAAGAGTTGAGGGCTGACACCCTGCCAGCTGAAGGAAGTAAAGAGGGAGGACACCTGTTGCTGTGGCTACATGGACCGTGTCCCAGTTGCAGCCAACAGAGACAGCAGAGACACCGAGAGGTGTGAATGAAAAGCCTTGGCCCAGTGTAGACTGTTCACTCTCAGCTTCAGGACAGATCAAGCAGGTAGTTCCAGGTAGAGGTAATAACACTGGGAAAACCGCTTAAAGTGCAGATTTGAGGCCGGTGCAGGGTGCAGGTTGTTTTCCTGGGAAAGGTTGATGTCAAAGAGCTACTTGTTCAAGATGAAGTGTAAAGTCTGATGAGACCAAAACACCAACAGTTAGATAATACTGTTTGTGGATATAGTGGGGTTCAAGAGGCAAAAAAAATATTCATAAGACTGCTGAATTGTTCAAAATTCTGTTTAATAATGTAATTTATGGTGAAGTCAGACTTTCATATTAGATCATGATAGGTTAACTTGTCATTCAATTAATAATCCATTCTTAGCTTGCATTGTTAAAAAGAGCATTTAAGAGCACAATGTTAGTTTTTCTATGTGATTTTTGCAAATTGCACAATAGTGGAAAACAGGTAATAGGCGAATACACAATACACAAGCCAGGAACGGGGTATAATGAGAAAAAATAAGGAGTAATGAGCAGGGTAAGTTCAGGTGGGTAGCTGCGTCAGCATGCGTAGGCTGCAAAGGAACAAGTAATAGGTTTATTCCATGCTGATAAAAAGAAGAAAGAGAACACAACGTTTCGGCTGTGGAGCCTTCTTCAGGTGTAGAAGGCCTTCTCACACCTGAAGAAGGCTCCACCGCCGAAACATTGTGTTCTCTTTCTTCTTTTTTTCAGCATGGAATAAACCTATTACGAGCAGGGTAATACAAGCACAATCAAACAAAAAAATTGAACTTGAGGTCTGGTTGCTGATTGGCCGGGAGTTGATTCATGATGATGTCAGAACTGCAGTGATGGTGTAGTGATGGATTAATGGGGGGGGGGGTGCCTGAAGGAAGTTGAAAAAAAACAAAACAAGGACACGCAAGGTGACATAACAACATTCTTTAGAAGTACTCACTGCATAAAACATAAACTAATGTTAAGTTAATAAAGAGTCCTTCAAACTGCTCTTAATTATGTAAAGATTTAACTCTAATATTTTTTTTTCAATTATTGCTATAGAGCACGATTTACTCTTAGTTTTCTGAGAGGCTTTGCAAAAATATGCAGATGCCGGTCTCTGTGGAGATAAATACATGTAATATAGAAGAAATAATTTATGTTTCTTCTGAAAGATTAGAGGCAATCTGGCCAATCTTACATGTTGTGAAAGTGAACTTAAAAATAGGAATGTTGTGTTTGTTAAACTTAAAGAACAACCGGTCAGCTATTGATCATGAGGGAAATTCCTAAGACTCAGAAATGCATGACAGGTTTGATTATAAAATACAGTACATGAGTTCAGAAGGAACCCACAGAATATTAGTAGTGCTTCTGTAGATCATTTTCCTTGTCTGGCCATAAACAGAACCACAAAAATGTTTATTTTTTTCTCATTTACTGAGTCAGATTGGACACGAAGTACAAAAAAGATTTCAGAACACTTTATTACATCTTTGTCACAGTTCTGCCCCTTTTCTCTTTTACAGAGCTAATGTCTTTACATACAAACCATTTATTGTATGAGACAAATGAGACAAGACTGTTCACACCATGTGGGGTGCTCGTCTAGTGTCTATGAGAAAGATGACATTGAATACAATGGGATTTTATTCTAGGGTAACTTCCAATACTCAATTCAGGGCATTTAGAGTCACAAATAATTTCACAGCATGATTTCACATTTGCTGTGTAGTCAAAAAAGAAGCCCACAGTTAAGATACTGGAGTCCAATAGAAAATTCAGTATGAAATTAAATATTTTTCTCTAAATTCTTCATTTTTCTACAGTAATTGAACATGCAGTTTCTAATTTCTAAGTTCATCAATATACAACTATTCTATGTTCATTATGAAACAGTTGTTTAAGATTGAAATGAAATCATTAGACTGTCATTCACTAATCTAGAAAGTAAAATTGTTTGATCATCTTAACTATCTAATTTCAATCATCAGATTAACTCATTTTCATTTAACAAAAACTCATTAAAATAGAGTATCTAGATAATTTTTAAGTGCTCTACATTTCTAAGATTATACTTTACTCACAATTTTCTCATTAGTAAATGGTACTTAATAAAAAAGGGTGCAGATTTTAACCTTCTGCAAATTTGTTTATTTACATTAAAGTACTGTACTTTAATGCTCAGTGTAATACTTCTGCATATTTTTATTTGGAAATTATTCATATAATTATGTTACTCTATATTGGGCGGAATTAATTAGAAGCATTTGAATAATAAATAATGATGGAGCTTCTCTTCGTTTCATGTTAAATAACTGATTTGTATCTCTGAAAAAGCATGCTGTACATGAGATTTGTGTTTGTGTACCACTCAGTCTCAATAGTCCCAATTTTGAAAATCATTATACTGTAAATGGTTATATAATTTTTCTTAAATATTTTACCCCATTTGGATTTTAATTAATAATTCTGTTGTGTGAAGCAATGGCATTTGACCACACTACATACTGCCAGTTATAAAACAAGCAAGTAATTGTGGAAAATTATGAATGGTGCTTTTTCAAATGTCAGTGCCAGTTTTCCAAAGTTAAAAGTAACATCTTACCACACGAGCATCAGCATGGTTTGAACAAATTAAAGTCTTATCCCACACGGTACTATCTTGTATTTACTCAGATTTAAAACTGAGCCAACAAGAAGGGCATAGCCAGCTTCTTTAGTTATATACAGTATTAGCATAATACATGAGATAAAAAAATGATCATGGTTCAAGGAGAAAACTTCCAGTGGTTTGTTTTAATCTATAGTTCTTAAAAGCCATTAGTGACTTTTTAAATAAGAAACACATTGCACATAAGAGTTCATTAGTCTTTAAAAGCTGACTACTTCACATCCGTTCAGATGATCATCAAAAGTTAAATATTACAGAGGAAGTCTCACATATAGTGCCATTTCTTAATTCAAAATATTCATTCATTAAAATGGGTGCTAAGACAATAATTTAAATCTGTTGTCTCTGAGAGATTTATATTAATACCAATATTATTTATACCAGAACAACGTCTGGGTGTTTGATTAAATGTTTCTTGGTCATAAAAACACCAATGTCTGTGTGCCCTACTGTGAAAGTGTCGGCATACAATATGTATCTTTTTACAAATTTTTAGATCAGAAATAATTGAATCTCGTAGAAACACTGTCTCAGTCCAGTTTTTTAATGCAATCTCATTCCTTCTGAAGAGACCTTATAAATAAGTATTTTTTAATGTGTGGAGAGATGATAGAAACTAAAATTTAGCAGTGTGAACTTTGTACAATCTGAATTGAACTTTGAAAAAGTAATTTACAAAAATCATAGTATACGAGTCATTGTTCACTTTTACATCTCTGCAATGGCTGGCAGCATACAGGCTCTTATCCTGGCCTCTTTCCAGGCGCTTTTACAATCTGCTATCCAGCTAGAGATCATATTCTGCTTGTCTGTCTGACCAAAGCAGGAGCCAAAGGACCTTTCATTTCTAATGCTGGAGTTACACTTTGTTTCAGAGTGGCAGAGGCTCTGGGAGCTCCTGGGTGGAGGTTTCATCACACTGGGCTTCTTGTCTTTAGGAGGATGAGGCCAGACCTGGCCAGTAAGACTAGTCCAGATGGAATCGTCACTGTTGGGAGTTTGAGTTGCCAGGCCTTCTAACTGCAGTTCAGGGCAGCTGATCTTCCGCTGCATGGGACGAGGAGAGCAGAGTTGTGGGAAGCTGTTTGCCCGTTGGCGGCTGTGAGAGGCCTCCACAGTTTTAAGCTGTGAGTGCCCCTTGCTCCCCCAGACATCGCCTACCTCTGTCCTCTCAGTCAGCTTTCTGTTGTTCTTGGTGCCTTGGAGACAAGATGCATTATGTTGTCCATACAGGTATTCCAAGGGGTCTGCATTGGAGCTTTTATTGAGCCTCGGGTGAACACCCTCTAAAGTGAGAAAAGGGGTAAAAATGGGTGCTTCCTTGCTGCTGGTGTGGTAATGCACCATTTGATCCAAGAGTGGTGCTGAAGCTGGAAGTTTTGGTAATTGTGGGCCAAGTCTGAGAGCATCCAGTTTGTTGAGGCTCACAATTTCACACAGTGGCTCCTGCAGGACTGGGAAAGTAGGTCTGGCCAGTTGACAGATGGATTGCAGATAGTCCTCTGAAGAGAGGCAGTCAGAGTGGATGTAGAAAGCATTGGAACAAGTGCTGGCATGATTCATATCCTGTAGGATTTCTTCATAAACCTCGCAGATGGTGGGGAGGCGCTTAGTGGTGAGCAGCCTGGACCGAGGACGCATGCCTGTTGGAGAACCTGAAAAATTAAAATTAAAAATAATTTGCATAAATATCTCTGTAATCCGATTTATACAATTAGTGATAGTACTGTAGTGTTTCCTGAATGACTGAGACCCATGCTTTCTCTATCTCAGTTCTGAATTGACAAAATCTTTTAATAAGTCAAAAATGGAAAAACAAATCAAAGTGATACAGAAAGCTATATATTGGACATCCATACAGCCATCAAATGTTGGTGCAGAAAGTGATGTTCTTGAAAATCTGCTAATGGATAAGAACTGGAAAATGTTGGAGAAAAATTGGGCAGGTTTTCTATGTAGTGTACCAAGAACAAAATGTTTGTATTAATCTAAAATGATTTACATTTAAAATGTAGGTAAATCATATTCTCAACAGCTCATCAGACCAGGGCTTATCATGGTTTCCATGGCATTAAGCAAGCAAAGAGCACATGACCCCCCTCAGAGATGGGATGCCAATCCATTGCTGAGTCTTCCTCCAGTTATTGTTGACCCATCATGCATAAAGCGGTAAAGTGCCAACTTCACGGTACAATAGCAACGTCTTCAGTAGGGGCTTGAATCCACAATCCACCATTTGTAAACCCAAGAACTTGCTATGCATCCCCAATTAATTGCTTTTAATTTACAGGTAAAAACAATGTGTATTTTTTGTTGGGCAAGTTTACCTCAATCTCTCATATTTAGTGTTGCTTCTTTCCCAAATTGGGGCATTCTAATTGGTGATTAATTAGATTGCCTGTCATCAGCAACTTCTCAGAGAGGTTACTTTGTTATAGTGTTGATGTTTTGGAGGGGTCTTAAGTGCATTCGTGACTGATATCTAAGAAATTCTATCTGGAACAGCTTTTCCTTTTTACAGTATACTGAATGCTGTTTTCTACAGCATGTTCCTTTTTCTCTCAAATTTGCATTTAATGGTATAGATCACGTATATGTTTTATATAGGTGTATTCTCTGACATAACAAAAACAACATTTGATAATGGAGGTTTACTGAGGGTACAGTTAATGAATAAGTTTGTTTCCCAGTTATTAATTTGTTGCAGCATGTTTGTACAAGACTGCAGCCTCTTCTCTAGGGTAATAAATACTAATTTATTGGTTCATTGTTTTGTGATGCATTAAAAGAGACAGGTTCAACGTGCAAAGTCACAAAATCATTTTTTTCTGAATGTGATTTGATCCAAGGTCTCTGAAAAAGAGCCGCTTGAAAAGAGAAGGGCATTGATTTACTAGAACCCCTCCCTGTCCCCATCTCACTCCACTAACATAACTTTCATCCATGCTTAAGTTTGATTAAGGAGGCTAAACCATCATTAAATTAGAATATATTCCTCTCCCACACCTACAAACTGTAATTAATTGTACCTTAAGAGGCTCCATCAGTGCTGCTGGCAAATGCCCCACACAGGAGGTGCTGAGACTCAGATAAAGTGAAACACTTATATTTCAGGGAGGTATACAAGAGCTTTCATCAAAGTTCATTGTTTTACAGTATGAATACTTTTTAAAAAATATTTCAAACAAGAAGGATTCTTGACTGAGACACATAAGACATAGGCTTACAGTGCAGTTACATTTTATCATGAATGCCTATAATTTGAGAATAACATGTTATAAAATTACACTCAATAAGTAATGAACCAAGATAATTAGCATGTGCACATGAATCCCGCAGGTATGATTGTGATTAACCCCTAGAACTTTAAAAGAAAAATCAGACAGACACTGATTCAAAAGGGACAGTGTGCAGTATAGCCAATGATTAAATCAAATTCCCCATTTGTTATGGCATGGTAATTTAATAATTTCAGAACAAATATCAAAGATGTTTACGCAAATGCTTTTGCAATGACCTTTTCTTTTTGTTTTCTCAATTTTTCAGAATCTAGGCAAATTAAATAATGAAAGTTTCATGCCAACTTTGAGCATTAAAGAGAACTTTGTCTCAAAATGAGCACTGTTCACCAAATGTTGTATATTCATAGTCCATGAAATCAATCTGCTCTATTAGCTCTATTAAATTATCAACATTTTCTTTGGTGGCCCATAAACTTCACGAATGTTTTGGACCTTTAGATGTTAATAATGGGTGCTCCAGTGTTGATTTCTTAAGTGGCAATATTTAGAATAAAGATTGTAAACACATCAAAAATAAACAGGCATTGTTTAGAAGAAAGAGTACTCATACTGCCTGTATGGACCAGATTTATTTTCTCTTTATGGTAATAAAGCAGTACCATTAGAATGAGACAAACATCATCATCAGATGCGTGATAAAGATAAATAATAATAACAATACAATAAAATTATATCAATATAAGTTAATTTCATTTAATTGTACCTAGTTTGTGTACTACAAAGGACTTTGCCCTCTGTGAGGTAGAGTTTATATTTAGATAATGCCATATCTCTTTTTCTTTTGGGAGTGACCTTGATCTAGATTGATTTGCTTTCTGGTGCATAAATAATTACACCAACATGCAGAGTAGCATGTTACTTAAGTCCTATTGTCCAATACTAGCATAGCAGGTTTGCGTTCAATTCTTCGGAACATCATCATCATCATCATCACAATAATAATAATAATAATAATAATAATAATAATAATAATAATAATAATAATGTAGTTGTAAAGGTCTAACATGCATTTCTGCTTTGAAACCCTCCCCCTTACTAAATCTACATTTATTTGTTAGTAAAAATAATTCAAGATTGTCTAGCTAATGTTAGTTTTGCATTTGCTTTTTATTTTTTCTGCGGGGGGGGGGGGGGGTCGTTGTCTATCGAAGCTGTTCTGCAAAAGCACACCAAGACAAAAGCTCCCTTTGTGATTGTCTTGAATCCTATTAAACCTTGAAACAAAGACCTATAACCACACATTTTGAATTCCTTCCCCCCTGTTTTGGCAATAGTGTGTCTCACCTGGTTTGTGTGTTAATTTCTCTAGCGCTGGTTCCTCTGTTGATACCCAGCCTGCTGTCTAAGAGCTCTGCGATGCTTGCCTGAAGCTGATACACTGTTAAGTTAGAATGTGCATACAGTCAACCAGCTTGCAGCCAGCAACTGCAGCAGAAATGATTTCTTGTTGCTAAATATAGCACCCTGGCCACTTCCTGTCCCTGAGTACTATGATTTGGTGAATGGATTTTATTGAGGCTGATGGAGAGAGAGAGAGAGATTGGCAGCAGTAATTACCTGCTCATGACAGAGAACCAGCGCATGCGCTGGCATTTTATCGAATAGTGAGTTTTCTTCTGTTTTAATCTTTTTTCCTGACATGCAGCTTGCAGAAAAATTGTATACCTGCAGTAATGTCTTAGAAAATTGTATAACATATATTGATATAACATGTATAACATATGTACAACATATTGTTGAAGGGGTTAAGGATTAATTGATCTTTTTCTGAAAACTGCAGAAATAGAATATTACAGATTCTCAAATAATAAAATACACGATCTTACATAATTTCTATGCATGCCACTGTCAAACCCCAGGTAAAGTAATAGAAATTTATGTAACAATAACAAATAGCACAGCTTTTATCTACTCTTTTAGACAGATTAGAGAATACATATGTAATAATGTGTCCCACTAGACATAGCAGCCAGTTCAGTCATTGTAGTGACAGACCAAACACGTGGATTGGAATAATGCATGGACTAAACTACATTACTACATCTACATTGTGCTGCTACAAGGGGTGGATAGCAGTCTTTTAGGATACAAATGATAAAGGGTTACATTCAAAGCAAAAAGTAAGGAGTTAAAAGATAGTTACATGAAGAGATTATAAAGAGTTCTTTTCATGTACTGAAACAGCTATTTATCGACAGTCTCACCCTCAAGAACAGTCTTTGTGTCCCGTGTTACTTATCAGTGACCAGGCATTATTTTTCTACATTTCTAAGAATCTGATTATTTTCAGAGACAGTGGGTGACACACCACACACTTACAGTAGCTACTTTTGTCAAGAGATTGATGATGAGCACAATCACATGTGACTTTACATTTCTGAATGTACTGTACCTCTGTGTATAATATAGTACAGTATATTCCCGGTATCATGACAAACAATATTGTACTTAACTGGCTGATGTTATTTCAGATTTAATTTACCTCAGTTCTTACTGTAATTATGATATAAAGAAAATAGTGTGTTAAAGTACAGTACAGTATATATCAAATATACCTTTGCCTTTGCAAATACATTTCCTTATATTTAATAAATAAGGTTTCAGATGAACCAGAACTCACTGCTAGTTCCATACAGCAATAAACTAATGTAAACACATCAGTAATAAATCATGCAAACTGTTTAAAAGAAAACACTGTGAGAACTGTTATTCTTATTGGGGATGTTCATATATAATTTGTTCTTATTTCTATTTTGGTTTCAGAATCATATGATGCTAAAGAGAGCAGAGCTTACAATGTTAAGAGTGGTTAGAATTTCTCTTATGACTGTAAGAATTGTTATCCTTATCTGGGATGTTTATATATCATTTGTTCGTATTTGACCTATTTTGGCTTCAGAATCGTACGATGCTAAAGAGAGCAGAGCTTACAATGATAAACGTGGTTAGAATTCCTCTTAGGACTGCCAGGCTTCTCTTTAGCAATACAAATATCTCTGTGAAAAGAGAATAGTTTTAACAAAGGGAGTAAAAGAGAAATTTACCTGTAAGTGAATTTCCTGTGCTTTACGTGCTTCTGTAGCCCAAGATGAGATGAGAATAGAGCTTTCACCGGCCCCTTTGTCCTTTCCTTCCAGTTCTGCAGAAGTAGCTGAGATTTGCCTGAGTGGAGAATACTGCAGGAGAGTTCTGTTTGGGAACCACGGCTTTAGAGCTGGTATTTATAGACTGCTCATCCTGTTTTAATATGCACCACTAGGGGGAGGGAAGGGGAAAATCAACATGATGTGTCACTTTAAAAGGCAAAGAAATCTGTTCCTGCTTGTTTCTTTCTTTCTCTTCTTATTATTAAATTAATGTTTCAGGTCAACAGTGGTCTTTTTTCTTTCCTTTTGATGAAGTCCCAAAGGGTTACCTATCTTAGAGGATAATAAATGTTCTACAGTCAAAGGGCATTAAGAATAACTACAGAAAGTGCAAACTACATGTGTTTTTTAAAATCTCTTGTTAAAAATTTGAAATATATGTAGAATTTGTTGTCTAAATTCATAATAATGTACAGTACTATACATTATACAGATATAGATTTTTTGTTTTCACCATAAAACTTTGCTTCAGGATATGCTACTGCGAGAAATGGTCAGGTAAGTGGGCTATGAATTTGTGCCTAGTAAGAAGATTCAAAAAGCAAGTTTATGTAAAAGCCAATAATAATATCAACACCAACAATAATCTGAAGAAATATACTTAAAAAAAACAAAAATGGATGTCTTGCGTGGTGCATGTATGTTACGTGTTTAAATATTTAACCTAATTAAAACCACAAAATTGTTTTAGATATTAATGATCCTTTAAATCTGTATTTTTAATCATTTTTAAATCTCAACAAAAATGATTCACTCAATATTTACTAATGCATGGAGACACATGGGTTGTGCAAGGAGACTTAGTATTGTTTATTAAAGATCTTGTTTGCTTGTTTGCTTTGGCCTTTACATATATATATGTTTTAAGTCAATTGAATTAGACTACCTTCAGGTATACTGGAAACTTTAGAATGAAGCACATTCCACTGAAAATGTTTCATAGAATATTCCAAACCTCAATCATTTTAATTCTAAATAATTGTTCTGTGCTCCTGGGATTAGAGACCCTTTACTTAAAAAAAGGACCCCAGTCTGTGTGCCAGGTATTGCTCTCTGTCATTACCATATTCTTATGTTGAGCTGTGCTCCAAAGTATTGACATGGAGGCTTGACAATGCTATAAATAAATCCAATTATACATCACGACCAGACAAGATTTGTCAGGAGTCGGCATGCAGACAGATAACGTTCGCCGCCTTCTTCATATCATCCAAACTACCAACACTGACAAATTCTGCTATTTTGTTGCTGAATGCTGAGAAGGCTTTTGACCATCTGGAACAGGGTTATCTTCGGACAGTTTTAGATCACATTGGGCTAGGTACAGTTTTTATGAAAATGATTAAAATCCTGTATTCAAACTAGGTGGTTGAGGTTATTATGAATGCTCTCTCCTTTCCCCAGTTTGCTATATCCAGGGGTACTCACCAGGACTGTCCACTCTCACTATTGCTAGTTTGCATTCTCTTTAGAATCCCTAACACAGGCAGTGTGTTCATCTGCAGTGCAGCTGATGCACTCCTGTCCCTGGTGCCAGTGGGTCTTTGTCTTTCCTATTTCTGCTCGAATGGAGCTATCTATTGATTGGATCTTTGATGGCACAGAAGGGAATCCTAAGGTTCTGGGAGACAACTGTTGAAATCATAAAAGCTTTGTTGGTCATGCTGCCATCCTTTTAGTTACTGAGTTGATTTTGCACAATCACTGGAACTGGCTATTTGGGAAGGTATAAGTTCTGTTATGAAATAATAAAACATAATTAAGATATACAGTATTAAGTTATAATCGTAAATATCAAAATGTTAAGCTCAGTGTGCTGATATTTACAGTAGCACAGGTTGAAGATAAACTACATCGATCAGTCACTTATTCCTAACCACAGAGGTTACTATATTCTTTTTCCAAATTAACCCATGTGACCCGATGAGATTCTTGAGAGATGACAGTCATGCAGGTATTTGTCTGTGACTGACTGTTGCTATAGCAAACTTACTGTAGCCATGGTAAAATGTTCCTGTTGAAATGTTGTAATTCCTGTAGAAAAGCCAGCAGATGCATTTTAATTCCTAAGGTTTTATACACAGTTTACTTTCATTTTTTATGTTGCTAAGGAGCCTATATTTCTTGAAGAATAAGTTGTAACAATTGTTCATGATAAATAGAGAAATACTGTATGGTACATTTCTATTTTAAACCATTTAAATGACTATTAGTAAATTATTTGAAATACTTTTACAGAATTTGAAATGGGATGATAAAATATTGTGATTGATTCAGATATGTAGATCTATGTTGACATATAATGTATATATAAAGAAACTTGTCATACTGTAAGTAAATATGCACAATTATTAAGATATACATGTTCATTCACTATGCAAATTTATAACCATACATACATACGTGGACCATGTGGCTGACTTTTGATACTTATTGTCTAAAATATTGTGCAAGATTTCTGACACCAATTATTTTTACTTTGAAACAGAAATTACTGAAGTATTTAAATAAATAATGCTATTATTATAATAATGCTTGATCTGTGGTCCCTTAGTGTGGTGAATTGCACGTAAATTGGTTTGTTGAATCATATTATTCCTGTGATTTTGTGTGTATAAAAGTTAAACAAGCATTTTCAATACTGACGCATTGTGAAGTTTTTGGAGATCAGAAACAAAAAAATATGGAAGGAAGATATTGATGTCAATAGGACCCAGGCATAATGTTCCTCTTCACATGGTCTCTGTTTTATATGGTATAAAAACAGACTTGTGTAGAACAACAAACTAGACTAGAAAAAAAAAAGATAAAACACTACACAGACACGATCCTTCTTCATTTATTAATGCTCATGAGAAGCCAAAAAACTCTCAGTAAACAGGAATTACATGTATGATCATGATTTACTAGTGCAAACCTTAATAGAGGTTATGTACTGTATAAAACTAGGTTGTGATTAATCAAGTGCTGGAGATAATATTGGAATTTGTTGACAACATTTTAACAGTGATAAGAGAGTTCACAATACAGACGTTGCTTTCTTGCAAACTGGCTTCTAACTAAAACTGAGCAGAGTAAAACACTGGGTGACCAGGACATATGCTTTAAATCAGTTGCACAGAACCCTGCTGTGTGATAAAATGAACAGCCCCAAAGTAGGGATGATATCCATGAAACACAGCACTAAGCACAAATCAAAAATCACATAAAAATGCAAGATTGGCATTTTTATCACATCTTGTATCATACAAGGCCTATTTAGATGGTGATGCAGCATGGAAAAATCGCCAATCCAGTAATCCACCAATATTTCTGATGGAGCATGAGGCTGCATGCTAAGCGGAAGAGGGAAGAGTCCCCTTCCAGAGCAAGAGAGTGTAAAGTCTGAAGTGGCACACATTCACTAGACATGGACAAATTATCAGTGGTGTTTGGTTGTGATTACTGATGTGATTAATGACTGTGCCCTAAAAGATGCTGTTGGAGATGATGGGGTAAATATCCATTCTTTTCAATCAATCAAAGTTTATTTATCAAATGCACAACAATACAGCGTGCAGCAGTAGTTGCTGGCAATGAAATGTCTTTTCTGCGAGCTCACCGGGGGGTAAAAATCACAAAATTAAAGTTACAAAATAAGTTACATAATAATACATAATAGTGCAATAGAAATTGAATAAACTCAGACAGAGCTCAATATAAATAGAGCTGCGATATGTCCACGGTGTAAGCAATACACGTCCAAGTAGTGCAGTATGCCGAATACAATGAAAACTGTGTGTCCATGTAGCCATTATAGGTGATTTCCTGAAGGAACTGCAGCTTGGCTATTTAGCAGTCTTATTGCCTGGAGGTAGAAGCTGTTCCATAATCTGTTAGTCTTTGAATGCTTTGGTCAAAGACTAACAGATTACGGAACAGCTTCTACTTCCGGGTAGAAAAACATATATTGTTCTAATTGCTTCCTCTAATTCAGGGTCATGGGGAACCCAGAGACTATCTTGACAAGCAACAGGTGAAAGGCTGGATGGGATGCCCTGGATGGCATGCCAGTCAATCATAGGGCAGATGCCCAGACACAGATCCATACACCCACACTAGGGTCATTTTTTCCAGAATTCAATTAGCCTACCAGTGTGTCTTTTGACTGTGGGAAGAAACTGGATTTAAACTAGGGAGAACATACAAATCCCACACACATAGCACTCTAGGTCTGGACTGCAAGGCAGCAATGCTAACCACTGTGCCATCTTACCACCCTGAATATTTGCTTATCAAACCATTTGATCATTTGGTGAAGGGGGTGTGACAGTATGGACAGGCATATCTAGTCTGTGAAGGACATTGTGGACGAAGGACAAACTTGTGTTTGTCACCCGAAGAAGGCTCCACAGCCCAGTTTTCTTTCTTCTCTTTCCAGCATGGAATAAACATCTTACTTGCAATTTGTGGTCAATGCCGATGTTACAGATCAGCTCTATGTGTCATATATGAAATAATTATTCTGTTGAATTATTGCTACAGACCTCATTTCCTGTTGATGGGTGACAACACACCTCTTCACCAGGCTCATCTCAGCTCTCACCTTGTCTAGCTGTTCTTATAGAAACCCAGGCTTTCTTATACAGACTGGCCTCCCCTGTCTCCTGGTGTGAACCTTATTGAATATCTCTGGGATCAATTGACATCACATCTCACTGATAACAATCGACAATCAAAACTGCATGGTGCATGTACAGAGGAGCAAAACACTTTACTTCTGTACAGCTTTTGTAGTTGAGTGAACAGTATGTGATGACAATGTCGTACTGATTTGATGCTCAGAGGGGAGTTTTTTTAATATTGACATAATGTATTTTTTCATGATTATATTTTATTTGTTTATTGGGTTAACCATTAACTCAACAAAATTACAATTACAACTTTCACCTGCATTATATTGGAGAACAAATAAGCTAGTTAAGGTATTATATTTGTGCAAAAGGCAATCAATATGCATTTGTGGAAATACTGTACAATATGCAATAATGTAGTTCAATTTCCTTAAGTTTGTGTGCTTGCTATTGCAC